TTTTTTTTTTTTTTTTTTTTTTTTTTTTCCCCCTCCGCGGGGGGGGGGGGGGGGGGGGGGGGGGGGGGGGGGGGGGGGGGGGGGGGGGGGGGGGTTTAAGGGTCAGACACGGAGTCACAGAGGTTGCCCACAAAACTTCGATGGTCGATGTCACTCCGTCATCTTCCTCACAAGCCTTTCCTCACTCATCCTCTTCCTTAAACTGTATCACACTAAACTTTAGCATTTGAAACAAAAATAAATCCGTCTCCAGTGGTGTCAGATTCAGCCGGTCTGGCTGCTGCTGCTGCTGCTGCTGGGTCGGTACGGCAGACGTCAAGGCTACCACAAACAAAATAGACCACACCAACATGCCTTTGAATAAATTAAGCCTGCCAAGGAGAATGCGAGAGAATCCGGGCGTCGATACAAAGACGGCGCCTCCTTATTAGACAGGACTAAAATGTTGATTATTTTTATATTCCGACGTCGTGAGAGGCCCACTTTTAAAAACTTGAAATTTCAAAAATGTATCAAAGAAGAGCAAAACAGGAGGAGATTACGACATCACTGCAACATACATGTACTACAATGTAATAAAAAAATATTTTTCGCACTTGAATTCAGCAGAGTTTATGTTGAAAAGATAGAACCTAAAAAAAATTTAAAAAAAGAGGACCTTGATTTACCAGGATATTCTGATTTGCCCTTTTCCCTCTGATCATTTGCTGCAGTTTAAATAGATTTTACAGTCACATGCCACCGACAAATACTTTGGACTCAGAGGTGAACACTGTTGACCCCGTTTCAGTTTAAAATAAACTTTTAGACTGAAGTATATTTGCTTAGAAAAAAAATTGCATAAATTAAAATATTTATTTTGTATTTTTACGTATGGAGTTTGTTGTATGCAAACTTAAATAAAAATTTTAATTCTGTGTTTTTTTTTTTTTTGTTTTTTTTTTGTTTGTTTCAATAAATATACCAATGAAGATTGGTTTGACTTGTCCGTCCACTTCTGGCCACACACGAACACACACACACAGTCCCTTCCACAGCCACAAATGTCATCTTTTCATTTGCCCTACCTTGGAAGAAACTTTTGACGCGGAGGTAGGAAACTGCGAGGCGAAGCACCGACAGCTTGTCCAGCTTGGAGATGACATCAGGGGAGAATGGCAGCAGGCTGGCCAGCCGGGCCCGCCCCGCATTCTGCCCTTTCCCGGGCCCCTTTTATGGGGTTGTTTTTCCGGTGCCTCTTAGACGGGTTTGTCTTCTCACTGGTAGTGGACGGCTTCCTGGGGACGAGCCAGAACGAAACATCAGGTTTTTTTTTGTTTTTTTTTTATAGATGTCACTCTTAGCTTCTGACACATTTACACTGTGCTCTAGATTCAACATTAAAAACTGTTTGAGCACTTATTGATTTCCATTTGAGACTAATTGGATTCAGTGTGTGTGTGTGTGTTGTTCATTGTTAGTGTAACCATTCAAATGTTGTGTGTAAACATGCACTGTAACCACAACACCTTATAACCAAAACACAGAGACAAAACAATACAAACCACACATTTCCTCAATACGACGTGCGCCACAGACATTTGTTTTGTCTCAACTATGCTGCACTTTTTTTCACTTTTTTTTCCCCCCCTTCTCTCCGAGGCTCAGATGTTTGTCAAATTTATTTTCTTTTGAAACTTTTGTGAGCCCTGAGAGCCGTTCTGACGATAGCCGGAGTGATATTTCACATCGAAGATGGTCAACTTAGGCCAAAGAGTTGTTTGTTTCCTACTGTATTTGACATACGCAGCCTGACCGTGTAGAATCAAACACGAGACGCAGGAGAAATGATCAGCTCTGGTTTCACCCACTGAACCGTCGGCCACGGTCAAAACACTTTGAGTTAAATTTCAACAATTATGTTACCAAATTTATATTTACATTCTAACCTTATTCCGCATTGAAACAAATGTGAAAAGTCAATATATGTTCATATTATTCAGGCAGGAGTTATTTGATTTCATCGCAGACGACACTGGGTTATAATTCAGACTCCTGAGTCGTGTGGTAAACACAAAAGCAGAGCAGTAGCAATTTGATGTGGCAGAAGTTTCCACAGAGATCAGCAGCAAAAGAAGCGGTGCAAAACATGGAAACTTGACGAATGCCATTGGTAAATTACCACTTCCCTGTTCAAAAAATCCTAGCTAACCTACTTTCACCACATGCATCACCTGACACCACGTCCAAAAAAGCAGACTAACTTTGCAGTCTAATGTGACTTCTTAAAAAAAAAAAATAAATTTTAACATGCAAAACTTAACATTCTATTGACATAAAAACGTCAGTTATAACCTCTCAGTTAGTTTCAACCACAACTTGTGCCTGTCATAAGCGTCGTTTAGTTCAAATCAAATAATCTACTGCGATTAATCGATTAAATAAAAAAAAAAATCACTCCCAGATTCAAGTTGCACGAGGCAATTGTCCCATAAATCGCTTGTTAAAATGTAAAAATAAATAAATATATTACATGTTAATGGGTTTTCTTAACTGTTTTTGGATGGGCTTCCTCCTCTTCCTCCCCGCATACATGCAGTCACCCGGAGGGATCATGGTCATGCGCTCCGTGGAGGTAACAGGTGCGCTGCGGAGGAGACAGAACGTCAACTTCACATGGAAAGTTGTAAACACTGCAAACATTATCCTTATTGCTGCATATTAAAAAAAAAAAAAAAAACCTTATTGTTGCATATTTAAAAGAAAAAACAAAAATCACATCATTGGTTCCTGATGCAGAAAAACGTCTTCAACTCAATGTAAATTCTTCATAATTAGTTCAACTTCAAGGAAATATCATGCGTAAATGAGAAAAAATATTGGAAAGACTCATGGGGTGAAATGAGTGACAGCTAATCGCTAATTTGTGCTAAAAACACACAGGTGCAACTCGTGTCAATTAGGGGCTACTCGGGGGCGCGTGCAGGGTCGTTAGAAATGAGTAATAAAGCAAATTTGTCTTTAAATAATAAGTAAATAAACAGAAAACACAAACCGACAAGTGAAAAAAAGAAAAATTGCTACTAACCGAATATCTCTGGGACTGTTAGTTAATTCCAGTATAGTGTCAATGGCTGCACAGCCACATTCACTTTAAGAACAAAAAGAAGAAAGAAAGAAGAAAAAAAAAAAAACAAGAGATACGTCTCCCAGGGTTCGTTAGAGATGCCAAATGATAAATCCAATGGAAATATACAAAATAAAGCGCAGAGGATCCCTGTGTGCTTCCCGAGCTGATGTTTTCATCAGCTGCTCTCTGCTCAGGGCAGATGTTGGCTGATGCTTTATACCCAATTGAGTCGCCTTCACTTCCTTGCGTTTCAGGTGGCGGATTCCTCTGAATGACATGTCGAGCTCTTCGCACGCAACTCTCTGCCTCACAAACACAGAGGGAGAGGGAGCGCGACACACACACACACACACTCACACATACACTATGCTGGTTTCACGTGCTGCCATAAAATTGGAATTATCTTTTCGTGCTTCTCTTCTCCTTCTAACGGGTTGAATATTACTCGTTTGGTCTATTTGTGTCTTGAGAACTAGACTAAAATAGAGTAATTGTTCAAATATCACCACGACAACACTCTGTATGTATGTTAATCGTAAATATTAATAGTATTTGTTAAAGTACCACTTAATCAACTCTAAAAAATTGACATACCAAAGTATCCAACAGACAAAAAGACGTATCTGAGTGACTAAGAACTAATACTTTTATTTGTCTCCTTATTCTCTTGTAATGTAGTTCTATATTTTAAGTATAACCATTATAATATTTTTTTAATTGAAGACGAAAGAAAACAAAACATTTTTTACGGAGTGTACTTGAATGCAACCAAACTCTACGGGGAAACGAGCGCTGTGCTCGTACTTTAGTTGAGCATCGCGAGAGGAGGGTTCACACGCGATGGGCACTTCGCAGAATCAGCGAGTCCTGCGCTCACAGAGTACCGACCTGTTTGCCGCTGTTGGTCGGAGGTTCGAACCGAAATTTCGCTGCTTACGGAGAAGAGACGTGTTTTTGAACCGGACTGGGTCTGTGAGTGAACGGAGAGGATGAAGCGTTCGAGTGTTTCTACATTAGCCCGTCCAGAGAGACGTTTTGTCCTTTGAAAAGACATGCGTCTCGGATGTAGTTGAAATTGTGGGGAAATAACTGCGCCAACGTTGTGAGTGTCACAGGACTGAGTTGAAGGTGTCCCTGTAGCTGTTTTCATTGAGGAACAATACCTGTTGCTGTGACCTGCGGAGTTTTACAGCCATAGGACAACATTTAAACGGCTTTATTTAAAGAAGCAAAAGCTAATATTTCTGCACAGTTGCAGATGTTTACTGTGCTATGCGACGCTGGTCATGTGGCTAGTGTTCACCCAGTTCCGTTTTAGTCCCTGTTTGACTAATAAACTGACACATTTTCACTGTTTGTAAAAGGTTGAATTAGTGTGTAAACACCAAAGCACTCACATCCGACTGTAAAATGTAACTGTAAAACAGATACAGATTGGAAAATGAAAATAAACAATTGAAAAACAAGCTAGCCCTAGTGCCATTATTATTACATGCTAATCCTTTTTACACCTAATTAATGAATGACATTCATGTTATGTGCTTTTACCATGTCAATAAAAGAGACTTCCTGTGCACAAACACCGCATTAAAGTGTTTTTTTAATGGTATTGTATGTTTCGACTGGTAATAAAAAATGTATGTATTGATATTTTGACATGCGGTCTGGTGGTGTGTTGGGATGTCACTCATACTGTATCCAGTTTGTACGGATTCATGCGGTACATGTAGCCAAATGTACTCTTGAGTGTATTTGTGTGTAATGAGTCGTGCCACGCAATGGCTGACATATACTTTTCCTCTTTAAATAAAGGTAAAGTATTCAAGTTGAGTCCCAGGGTGAGGTTATGTGCCACATGTCATATCACATACACAAAGACGGTAATGTACAATGAACACAAGTGGAAAAAATTGGCTGCGGTTTGAATGACAACAACAAAGCACGGAGCAGAGGAACCAGTACTCTGTGGAAAACTATGCTACAGTACTAGCACCGACAACATTTAAGGAGAAAATGGACGTAAATAATTTTACTTGTCATCTTTTCTTGCTTATATGAGACAAATACAACGAGTTGTAATACAATTGAACGCATTCCTTTCAAAATAAAACAATTTCTCAACATATAATTTTGAGGGTGTTCTTTTGTTTGAAAAGACAAAAAACTTCACAGCTCAAAGCTTAACAAATATATATGACTAAAACACATTGTATTTCTTAAACGTTTGAAATTATAACAACAGTATTTGAACTTTGTGACTCACCCCGATATTTTCAGCATCTAAATACGTCCTTGTTCTCTATAGGAAATGCTAACAATAATTATGTAACAGCGCTAGCACGTAGTGCAAACTTTAAGGCCCTTATGGTGTATTTTAACATAATAAGGTGGTTATTAACTTGTCACTCAATTATAATTTTTATACTTTCCACAGTGAGATTTATGTTGCTCTCGTATAGAGGAGACGCATGTCAATTTGTTGACGGGAAAGCATCAATTTATTCGAATTTATTTGAGAATTTGGGCAAAACCGGTTTTCAAAGATTAGCTTTTCAGTCGGTACAATTAGCACAGTTGGCTTAAAATACTACGTGGTCAGAATAATATTGACCAGATAATGTGTTAAAGTGAGTACAGACGTTTTAGGGATTGCCCAATTATTAGTTGAAAATTTATGTTCATTTTACATTTATTTAAATGTTTAAATCTAAAATTGCCCAATTATTAGTTGAAAATTTCTATTCATCTTACATTTATCCATCCATCCATTTTCATCCGCTTATCCGTTTCCGGGTCGCGGGGTCTTACATTTATTTAAATGTTTAAATCTAAACCAAGGAGACCTCCGGTGGATCAAAGTGGTCATTGCTTAATTATCACTGGTCCTGGAAAATTGTGAGTGCATGAAATAAAGAAGTTAATCCCATTAAATGCTAAAACAATATGATGAAGACAGAACCTTGTTCTTCAATAACAATGTATTTTCCCATCATACAGCAGTGAGGTAGAACCTTTGACGGACGACTTTATGACGATACGAGTTGTTTGATGTTTTATTTGTCGTGACAGGTGTGGCTGACACTGTCAGTGACTGCTGTTATAGTTCTGTTGGTATCAGTATAAATCCACTGACAACACTATCCAAGCTGCCTTCCAGATTAGCCCGGGCTTAAAGCTTAGCTAACACTGCTGTGGAAGGCCTTCGCACGCGAGCCACATGTGTGTTTATGTATCAGTGAATGCGTCTGTTTAAACGTCTGTGTATGTGTGAACGTTTGCAGCTAGAGTCGCACTTCAAAATAAGGGTCGTGGACAAAATACAGCGCACGATAGAGGCCGCCAATCACGCGCAGCGGTGTGTCTTCGTTGGCATCACGTGGGAATTCGAGAGACGTGCGGCGGCCGCGACATGCGAGTGAGAATCTAATGGACATGCATAAGTAATGGGGAGGTTTGATACCAGAAAGGCGGCGAGCGTACATTTTAAATATCGAACATAGCTGAACCTCTGTCGCTGTCATCATGCCACATCCCTTTGCGTCAATAAGCATCATGTGGCACGTAGCAGGACCGAGTACGATAACAAAGGAAAATACTTACGACAAGTCAATACGCTTTGAATATGAGTCAGTATGTAGGAGGGGTTCTTAACCTTTTTGACCTCGAGGCCCAGATTTTAAAACATAAAGTGGCCCGTTAAATATCATTTTATTATTTTTATTTCGGCCCATTAAATATCATTTTATTATTTTTATTTCATTTTAAAAGCCATACTTTTTGCTAGAGCTAGAGCTAGCCTAGCGAAGAAGTATAGTTTTAAAAGCCATGCTTTTTGCTAGAGCTAGCCTAGCGAAGAAGTATATTGGCGCTTGTTAAAGAACCGACTGATACTACCGCCACCACATGGTCAGAAGCTGCATTGTAACTGAGTTTTCTCATGACTAACATATCTGCGGCGTCTTCAGTTAAGAACATTTTTTTTGTAGCCCTTTTTTGAACTGTAGCTGAAAAGTCAGCACTGATGACTTCTCACATCAATTTACCTAAATATAGAAAGGTAAACGGTAATAACCTGCTGCTGTTGCAAAGTCCAAATGACACTGAGAGGATTTGTGGGGCCTTATTGTACTCTAGGACAGCAGAGCGCTGTTGACAGATGAGGCCAGGTCGGTTTTCCCGATAGGACAGGCCCTGGAGGAAACAATACGCAGTTACAGTGCATATAGATGTATGCAAAAACAATTGTAGACATTGAGACGTGTTCTAACACTCACATATCGGGCTTCCTTTGTTTGAGAGGTATCACACATCCATCTGAGAACTCAGGGTTTGACAGATATATTTTAAACCAAATTGCGTTACTTTAAATCACGATACTTCAACCGGCTGTTGAAACTGAACTGCAGATTGTTATGAAACGACGCGTTTTGACGTTAGTTTTTGACATGGGATCATAGTTTGTAACAAGTCAGTGATGCCTTTGGAATGTTCAGTAAAGCATTTTGGCGATTGGTGTAAAGGATCCTGGTCGACACCGCTGTCATAGAAATAAATGGGGTCATGTTATTGTTGATGCAAGTGGTTTCAGGATATTAAAATGAAAACAGATTTGATCTGCTATTACTTTGCTAGTTTATGTCTTAAAAAAACGTATAACCCTAGTGATGTAATGTAATAATAACATTATAATAAATAGAATATATAAAAAAAACAATGTGTGTAATAGTAACAATAGATGGAGTTTTTATACCAAAAAAAAGTACTTAAAAATTAAAGGTAAACGCAGGAATTTTTTACGACACCGATACTTAACCGTAACCTTTTTGGAACTGTGAAATCCCGCAACACGAGGAAATCGAAAGTCGACGTTTTGAGGCCCAGTTGACGTTGGAAAGTAAACTCCAAACACAACTGTAACCAAACAGGAGCTATCGCTCTGACGACTTCGCCCGCATGTCTGTTTGTAGTCAATTTAAATGTGTGTTAAAAAAAAGGACTCCAGTTTCACAGGAACAACGCAGATGCACAGCCTAAAAATTCAAAAATATGATACAATAAAATACATTTGAGCGTTAAAATGATGTTATAAAATATCCTTTCCTAAAATTTGGAGTTGAGTTTGACAGTGATTTATTATATTTGACCCTTGATGATAACATTTACTCTTGTTCCCATGCTTTTAAAGCAGCTTTGGTCTCAACAAAATGACCTTTAGTGCTCTTTTTTTTTTAATCCATCTGGCTCAAACTAGGATGGCGACGTCTTGGGAACTGCAATGTGGTTTAATTAACGCTGAAAACAACAATAAAGTTGTCGTCTGTGAGAGCAGGTCTCAAAGTCAGGAGAAAAGTTCCAACATTAACACAAAGCCACTAATTCACTTCTGCATCTTCTCTTCTGTTTTATCTGTTCTTCCGTCCAAATCCTGGCCCCGGCGAACTGGGAATACTCGTAAAATCATTTCAGCCGCAGACCTGCAGTCTCTCTATTTGTCTTGCGACTTACCTCACTACTGCAAAACAACTGAATTCAGACGTAGACGATGCCTATAAATGCCTATTCGATCCAATCAATTGCATATGTGAGTGAAAGAAAAAGAAAAAGAAAAAATTAAGACAATTTCGGATGAGTCACTCCATTAGTTGCCCGCATGTCGCAGCGACGCTAATATTTTCCAAATGTATTCCTCCCAGTTCCCACATGACTGTACATCTGATCACTTACTATGTTACAGTCCTGGAGAGGGAAAGCGTTTCCTCACCGAGCCATGCTTTTCATTAAAACCTACAGGAACACTGTCGCCTGCCTGTCGGGCCAGTCTACGTTCAGGTCATCAATAATGATTTCAGCAATGCCGAAGGGGTTGCTATTTGGTCGTGTTTGTAGTTGCTCAACTCTTCTTTTTTTTTCTTTCGATGTTTGGTCAAAGCAGTTAATGGTATTTGTCATTCCTTTACCAGCGTTTTTTCATCTGTTCTTACTCACATGTGGATACAGAAGCTTTAGAGGAGAAAGAAAAAAATCGACAGATTCAAGACGCCGACTGCTGCTTAATATTTTGCAGATTTTTTTTTTTTTTTTAAATGGTCAGTCGGATGTTTTGTTTATTTTATTATGAGATATTCTATTCTATTCTATTACTTTGATTGAAAATGTTGCTTACCTGGTTTTTTTTTTAAGTACTGGTGGTTTTCAATACATGAAATAATGTTCCAAATCTGATTGTTTAAATATTGTTTTCTCAGTGAGGGCCTTTCCCAATTGGCAGCTAATTGAATGCACAGCAACAGCCCCGAGGGACTTAAGAGAAAGCCTATTAACTCCACGGCCGCAAGTGGCTTTTGTGAACGGTAATGCTCTGACGAAGTCACAGAAGTCATTAGGTCGACAAATTTACTCCGAGAAATCCATCTTGGGATTGAAGGAGATAAACTACCGGTCAAACTGGGTCACTCCCGTACAAGTGTTCAGCAGCTGAGTCTCCGGGTCTT